ATTAATATTTTACGATAAAATTCTTCACGTGTATCCAATATTTTATTTACCTCAATTCAGTGTTAATTTGTTAACGAATTTCGTTGAAAAGCGCGAACCAAAAGACAAATACTTAACTCTATCAAATACATTCGATCAAATATAAGATAATCGTTTGGCAAGACGATCGAATCTAGATACATGCATATGTCGGATTTTATTATCGGAATTACCCATTGCACAAAGTTCGAGATACAAAAAAGTTGACGTTTTATAAAATATCTATGTCATTTACAAACTTTATAAGTTTACAAATATATAAGTAATTTGTGTAATACTAGATTACTTTTTTTAGACAAAAATAAATGTAATATTACATATTTTTTTTTTATTTGAAAAAGAATTTATTATTTAGATAAAAGATCTCTTAGATTTATCCAATGAGTAATATAAGAAATAAAGTCTAGCATATGTTTACGGCGCAAATTTGAGCACTATTAATAGTGTGTTAGCGTAATATAATATGTAAGACTTATCTTAAATACTTAATTTTAAGATTAATGTAACATCGCACAACTTCGAGATATTTGTATTTAATGAGGTCATATACTACAGCAATATGGCGCATGAATATCTCTTTTATATAGTGATTAAATGAATTCTAAGTATATTTATCGCTGTTTCAAAATATGTAGAATGTGAGTAACATCGTGCGCGGTATATACATTCCTTCTTTTATTAAAAAATAACTCAGTATAACTGATGTACAGTGTTTCTGGCACAAACAAAATCTGAACTTTGTTAGTCCAAGCATATAAATAAAGAATGAAATAACAAGCATGTAATCTTGACAAGAAAACAAAATCCTGCTTATATGAAAACAAACAAAAAGGAAAATCGGTTGCAAAATGCACTTTCGATGTAATGGATACAACAAGAAAAAGCTGCACGTATTTAATGAAAAAGAAAGAGCTATGGTATACTATATATTGACATTATATTTATCTTTATAATTTCTCTTTTTTAACATTTTGACAAATGCATATTCCTCTCCTTGTGATAATTAGTAACTTGTTATAACTGTAGGTAATAACATCCCCATGTGATAAAATTTTTAGATCAAGTTATATAATATCTTCCATTGGAACAAGATTTTATTTTCATAACAATACCAAAAAGAATTATAGATAATACTAGCAATCACAATTTTCATCATATATCATATAACATTCACAGTCATTTCAAATTAGTATGTTCAAGCTGTAATCTTTAGTTTGATTTGAACAGAGAAGAAACTATTCCTGGTGGTACGTCAGAGGACAATGTATTATAAAGTCTGGTTATGCCACTTATTGGTGTTAATATAAGGATACAATGCTTCGATCCACTTAAACAATTCGGATAATCTGGGAATGAATATTACGAGAATTTAGGTTTGCCATTGGCAGTGACAGTGGCGTTCAATGTTGAATTTGTAGCCATTTCAGCAGCCTGTGCCACTGCTACAGACACTGACTTCTCCACAAATTGTTGGTAGACTGGCTTCATTAACTGAACAAAAGTAAAATACAATTCTTCACTTCATTACTGCACACATCTTAATAACAACTATAATATATAGCGTTATACATTTGAAATCATGTATTTTTTCCCGGTTTTAGGATGCAGCGTTTATTACATATAACTTAAATTACACCCAAGTAATATAAAGTTTGATTAAGCAGTCACAGTTGTAACGGTTTGAACAGAAAAATGCAGTCAATGTTAATAGTTATCAAATATATGATCGTATATGTAGCCAAATGCCATACCTTTTCGATATTTGCTCCTGTTAACACTCAGCTTATGAGATAGGAATAAAAAACAAAAAACAATAAAAGAACGATATTAATGGTTATGCTTGTTATCATCAGGTGACTTTAATTAGTACGAAAAGAATTAGTGAAATATAAAAGCGTAAAAACGCAAGAAGTTATTTGAGATTGAAAGAATCTGTAAGTGTCAAAATTAAAGAGGGAGAAAAGCGTGGGATCAGATGTAGCCGTGCCTACGAAGATCGAGATAAGTATAATGACACACTGGTATCGCGAGAACAGTTACAATAACAGAAAGGATGAGGTATCTTAATTTATAAGTTAATTTGTAACAAAGATGAGCGCATAGCCAGACCTGTTGCAATAAGAAAATGTTAAATATTAATTGTGATGCAAATACCATATGATTTATATAATCCATGTTAATAATATGCAAATTATATACACATTGCAACAGAGAGAAGTGCTCCTTATGTACGTGACACATGAAAGATACATATAAATGTTTATAAATGTTTATAAATGTGATTTCAGTGCAGATTTTGATATTTAGTGAATATATCACACTAATATAGTAATAATTTTTTTCCAAATAAGGTTCTCTTCAATTTTGATTTTACATAAATTAAGTATAAAATAAGTACGTTATACGTTTATAAAACTAATGAAATGAGTGAAAAAATCTCTACCTTTCGCAAATATTGTTTTTCACTAGTACACTGTGGACAATATAATTTTCATCAGAAAAGTTTCATATACCCATACAATAAAAGAATTGACAAATATATGTGAGAGATAAGAAACTTTTTATCAGCTTTTAAAAAAACTTGCATACTTACATTTTCCCATATAGTACTCGCTAAATCGTCTATCTGCGTGCCGATTTCTCTGAATTCACCGCTATACCTAAGTATGAAAAAAAAAAAACGTTAATAAGAAATAACGAAGGAGATAATAAAACGAATAGTTGGAAGTTATACTAAGGGGCAATGAAAATATCCCTTAAATGCCTTATCTAGAAGGGCTTATCTGGATAAAAGCTCGAAATTAGAGGATATATTCCTATTGTTCTCAGTAGTATATAATCACATGTCTTATTTTGGGCCATGTTATACGAACCAATGTTTGTTTTGCCAACAAACTAGGATTATTTGGTCTTGAATTTTCTGTCAAGTTTCAGCCCCATATGTTTTTCTGGGTGAAGCATTTTCAATGTCCCTTAGTATATTTCGAGCATGTTGGAATTTAATTTACCTTATATATGCCCAGAGGACAAGTGTGAGGAGGCCGATACCCATAATAAGGTTGCATACATTCGCTATTGTGTACAGACCGACAAGACCAAATATTCCCGACAAAATATACATAGTGACGGCGATCGCGAAAAACACTGCCGGAGTTCGCGCTGCTTTGAAGATATTTTTGCTCTCATTGTGCGCCTTGAATTGCAAGAAAGCGTCGTCCATATCCTGTTTGCGAAAGAAAAAGATAACATCTTTGATAAAATAAAAAATCGAGCTAAAAATAATTAAAATAAAAGACACGTAGCGTACATTTTAACCGTTACCAGTATAATATTTTAAAAAATTAGCAGAGAATTACATTCACCTTGATCAATTTTTCCATATATATTTGACTGAACTCTTCTCCACCCATCTTTCGTTTATTCTGGAACTGACGAAGAGCCGAGTCTACACAATGATGATGTTCCGATTCTAAGTGTGCGGTCGCCATAAATGGCTTTGCCCCGCCGCATATATTTTCCATCATCTGAAGATATAAATCTTTAGCTTCGGCTACAGCCGACAGGTTGTTCGCTTCCGCTGTGGCCTGTAAATACACAACACAACTAATGGCTGAAGTAATTAACGCGACCTTTTGCTTTAACCTTTTCTCAAAAGCGGAGTTGACCGCTACTATGCTTCTGCTATACAGGGGAACGAGATGCGAGCATGCACTGTATGACAGAGTCCGTATAAAGATAGAGCGGAGTTTACTTTTCAAGGCAGAAAGACCAGAATCTCATTTCGACTTTGCCTTTATCATTAGAGTAATAAAGGATTGTTAGTCTAGGTCTAATATATCTTAGTAACGAGTGGTCTGTTCGTACATAATCCAGGAGTAGCAACCATTCTTACACACAGAAATCCTTGAGCGGTCACTACAGTGGTCATTCGTAACGAAAGGATTAATCGAAAGGAAAAAAAAAAAAAAAAAACGAGAAATCGGATATTAATAAGTGAAAACCATAATTTCTATAAATAAATAAAGAAACATGGAATTACACATACCACAAGCATGCTTTTCGGTTCAGGAAGTTCATCTCCTTTGTAGATCTTCATGTAACTCTTGAAATATTCCAACAGATCTCGCGCTTTTACAACTTGGCCGTTGATCTTCTTCGTCACCAGATTTTCCGGTGCCAGTATCATCGGTATGAGCACCTTCAGCTGCTTCTTGAACTCGCTCTGTATCTCGGACAATCTACCGTCGAAGTTCGGATTCGTTGCGATCTCGAGACCGGGATGTGGCATGAGGAAACACGATATGTCCGAGAAGCAGGACTTGATGTGCTTACGCAGGCTCTGCAATTCCGCGTGTTGCATGTCGGAGATCTGCAGTCTCTTGTTGAGCAACATCTTCCCGCCGTCCGCGCCGTATTCCGCCTCATACGGATAAACCCAATCTCTGATTAAGAACTGCAATCTCTGAAAGGGCGTGCTGTCGGAGCTCTCCAACGCCAGTCTACCGTACTCGGTGAATAGCTGCAGATGCTGGAGATCGTCCTCTTGGATGTTTTGCGACAAATTATATATCTGCACGGAGGACAACATCGTACTTAATGCGAACACTGTCGCGCAGTCTCGGACTGTCGACTGGCTATCGAAAGCGCCTTGAGTGTCCATAAGAATTACAGCAATCTTCTCGCCATTCGCCAGAGTGGCGGGGTAAACCTTCGACCACATCAATATACCCGTGGTGTCCCTTTCGGAACCGCCCCTCCACGAGAAACCGCCCAACGGCTCATCCTCGGCGCCCAACCAAGTGTCCGTGTCGTTGTGCAACGTGTACTGTCGTTGATGCAACAGAAATTACGGTCGAATGTGGCGTGGCATTCGTTGCCCCAACGTGGTTCCGAGTTTGGCATTGGTCGAACGAGCAAACATGGAATAATACAAACTTGGTAAACATTTGCGATACGCAACGTTGATACGCTCGGTATCGGTGATCATGACTATAAAACGTCTATTTTCAAACTTAGGGTTATGGAATTTTCATTTTTGAAGGAAAAAAAAAACTGAATTTTTTCCCATTTTCCGCGAATTTTTTCGATTTTTTATCTTCTTTACGGGAAAAAGTAAATGTGGTAGGTTTTAATTGAAATTCACACGTGTGAATTTTTCTAAACGAATTTTTCTACGCTTGAGACAGAAATCGTAGAAATCCGCGGAAAAATTGAAAAAAAAAAAAAACTAGTTTTTTTCGAACCTTCAAAACTATATATGATACACAAAAAAACGTAAATAGTAAGATTTAAGCAGTGAGAAAAGTGAACGGTCATAGTTGATTATTTTTCGGCCGGAGAATGGAGAATAATCGACTACGATTGGTTAATTTTCTTATTGCTTAAGTCTTATTGCTTGTGTTTTTCTGTGTGGCATGGCTCTTAATCTCTCGCCTACCTTGCTGTTCATGTAACGAAGAAAGAAGTCAAGAAGGAAACTTTTGCCTTTTCTGAAGGCACCTGCAACAGACACGACAACCACACTTCTATCTTTCACGTCGTCATGTAGGAGAATTTCGGCCAATGCATCTTCATCTAATTCGAAGGTATGATCTGGATGGGCAAGTACCACTTGGACAGGTTGCCCATGGTCCTCCACCGATGCGTCGTCCTCCACTTGCGCGTTCATCGGCGAGATCCTTTCTATTCGTTCGTTTCTTCTTATAGATTCTGCAACAGTTGAAAACGTTGTGATTACAAACCGTGGACATACAAGTCACGAAGAGAAAGAGGATCAATAAGTGTTATCGGAAGAATTACGGAAATATCATTCGTGTTTATCTACAGTATTGATATAGCATTTGAAAAAAGTTCCGATTATTTCAAGATAATAAAATTTACAAAATTTATGCAATATAATCATAATACGAATATTTGTAATCAAATTTATTTAGTTCTTTGTATATATACAATTTAAAAAGTGAACAGATATACGTAAAAAATATTTACAATGCGAGGGGCTTAAGTTGATTTTCATTAAACTCTGATTTTCACCAAACTCTGATTAAGCTAATTAATGAATAATAATAACTGTCAGCACCAATTTCCAGTATTATAATTTGTCGTTCAATAATAATCAAAAAGTGAATAATATATATCTGTGTAGTAAGATAGAGCACATAACACATGATAGCAATTTTAAATTGTCGACTAGTTTAATTGGACTTTGATGAAAATCATTCTTAGTGACAATGTTAATGAATTTTTTCGCAGTAGTAACAACGGCAAATAACAAAGCAAAGTTTGATTTTAAAGGGCTTTGACGCAAATTACACTTGCTCGCTCACCATTCCTGGATTAAGAGTCGCTTTATTCACCGTTATCTCGCCTTCATATCCCATTGGCCGAACAGGCACAAAGGACCAAGAGGAAGGACGGCGAGAAAGATATACACAGCACGTGTGTAGGCCTTGACACCGGTGGAGCACGTAAACGGTCGCGGGCTCAGAATGTAATTTATTGCACGCGGCACGAAAACAAACAGTCCAAGACTAACCGCCGCCGGTTACGTGTCTAACGCGCTGACCCGTGACACGTGACTCGGATCAGCTGTGAGAGAAATGGGATTTAAACCGTCAGCGTGAGCGGCGGATCGTCCGATCAGAGTGACTCGTGAAAGTTGAACGTAAAAGTAGTCGGAAGATCGTATTCCTGAGTGTCTCGCTGGCTGCGTTGGGGGAGAAAACTGCGCGTCCGTTTATCCGGTCAGCATAATCTTCGCAGTCCCGGGCGCCGGCGAAATTCTTTAACCCTTTGCACTCCGCTGTCGCCGTAGCGGCGACATGGTTGTTTTGCTGCCTCGGCACTTTAAGAAATTTTAAGTCCTAAAATTTATGTTTTTCTTTTATAATATAAGTTAGAATATGTTTTGTTATAAAATAGCTAAGAAATAAAAATTTTGTTTTATTGAAACGACTCTATTTTTCTTCTACATCATAGGTATGTACTTGGAACTAATAGCCTCTATGCATTACTAGGCTGGAGTGCAAAGGGTTAAGATACCCGCGTTTAGACTCGACGCAGCGCGATAAGTCAAACTATACATACGCGAATATTATTAGAAATCACGCGGCCTCTCTATGCACATTATCAGTAATCATAATTTAGCGCTTGTGAGATGTAGAAAAAGAAAATGAAAATATATGCGTTATCATTTGTGTGCGAGTACTAAGTATTTTTTTTCAATTTCACCGTTAATATTTTCCCTGTATACAATCGATCAGTTTCTCCGGGAAGCAATTTCCCATACGCGCGGAGGAAACCGAGTTTCTCTACTGAAAGAAACGGCATGAAAAATGCCGTTGTCGTGCGTAAAAATGAAATACTCGGTTTTCAAGTGAAACTGGAGAACGAAGGAAGAAATTCTCGCTTGTAAAATTATTATCGTCTGGCATAATGCGTCAACAGGTCGATCGTTACTCGCGTTACGACAGTGCATCGGCAATGATTATACGTTAGGAGGAAATTCGAGCGAAAAACAGTACCAACGTTCGATTTCTTACGTCTTGCTGCATATAAGAATCGCGTCTCACAACGCTATTTGCGTAGACAACGCCCATTCCTCCCTATGATTATCCTCGATACATTTGCGATCACTTCTCGTGCACGCCGGGATGAATAAATCGCGCGTGGGCACACGATCAAAAAACAAAGCAGCGGTTTTACTTTAGCTTTTACTTTACACGACGATGTCTCTCCATTATCAAAGTGCGCAACAATTGTACGACCCGCACGAGTTGATTTCGCCACACCTCTGTCGCACATTTATTAGCGATGTCGAGAGATATCGGGAGAAACTGCAGTTTGATACGACATTCGGAATCTAATTAGAGAAGAACTGGGTCGAGTGATAAAACTTTGCTTCGCGCCGAGATCGATATACTTTTTATTTGACCTGTAATAATTAATGCACGCGACCCGTATAATTAACAGACACACTTTCAATATTTTTCCATTTATTTTCCGTATCATACGCTTTGTACTCACCGGCGAAAAAAGCGTAATAAAAATTTCACTGATATGCGTGACTATATATATAATAAAGCAATGAATTGTGAATTTTTAATAACGTCAGCAATGTGACCCGGTACGATTGCGTACACTTATCCTGATATATTCGCAGTTTCGACTAAGCGTGACGATATAAATCACGATCGTAGTAACGTATTATCTCGTAGTGTCATGGCCAACGTCTTCAATGACGTCCAACACTATGCCTCGTCATACTCGAAGCAACGCATAACAGCCGGCGCGGCATCTTCAACCTTTGTTCACGTCGCTTTAAACTCATCTCACATATGTTCTCGATGAACATATTTCGCCGGCGGTCATGTATTTCAGTAATTTCGCCAGCAAAGAGTAAGCATCGCGAATATTTTTCAAGCAAATTAAACACTCGCAATTACGAACGAATAAACATTAAACGATTATTTTATTCCTCTTCACAAATTATTGAAGAAAAAATAGCGCGTTTTCGTGCGTGGAAAAATTTTGCAAAAAAAGCTTTAAACGTTATATTAATCGTATCTCAATAATGGTGTATTGTCAAGTGTATTGTGTTTGTCAAGATCTTCGCTTCAATTTATTATGAGGAATATTCGTGTTATCAAGCGACTCGGCCATTAAAAGCCATATTCCTATCGGAAGCTGGCCACGTTTAATTACGATCGTATCTCAATAAGAAGATCAGGTACACGGCGGACATCTTCAATTACGAGTAACGTTGACGAGGTCGGAGATACCGTGTTACACGACGAAACGTTTCTCCGAAGGAGAGAGCCTTCGGCGATTACTTATTGCGAACGAACGGCCAATTATACCCGCGCGAGCGCCAATTCTACAGTCCCGGCTTCTTCTGCTTCTCCTTGCCGTCGCCGCCGTCTCTACCTCCACACGACAGATACGCGTCATCATCGTCGACGCGGTGCACACGCCATCCGACCTCCGAGGTCCCTTGCAATCTCGCGATCGTACGAATCATTATCGTGTTACGGCCGTAAGTATAGGGCGACGAATTTCTCGTCTGGACGCACTCAGCGGGGCAAAAGAATACGCGGGGATCTAATTAACCGAAACGCCGGAGGCACGCAAAAGCAAGTGGAAGATGTACAATGCGCGTTTGCAGGAGTGCACGTTGTCGCGAGTATCAACGAGAGCGACGAGATCATTTTATGCGTTTAATACGATTGCGCGCAACTTGAAGATTCTTTTTTCTACTTTCCCATATAGTTTTGCCGCAGAGCTGTTATTACCAGCTCGCGAAACGTATGAGTGTAAATCGACATGTGAATAAATATTAAAAGAAATTATCCCTACAAGTGTAATGTTAATTAAAGTAACATATTTTTTTGAAGGTAAGCAAACGATGCAACATGTAATCACCGAGATGGGATTCAATTGGAATTAAGATGGAGCGTTAATATCGATTGTGATTTGTTTAAGAGAGGGAGGGGGAAGGAGAGGGGAGGGGAGATGATGCAAAAGGATGGTTGAATTATTGACCAGAAATCTCATTCGCGATCGGTCACGCGTCGTGAGAAAAAGCGTTCGGTGACATTCAAGAAAATTCCAGTTTTGCTGCCGCTGGAGCGCGATTTAATAATAAACTTTCATACCGCGTTCGTTCTTCCGCGTCATGCTTGAAATGTATGCGGCCAATGTTAGGAGGACTCACGTGAATCCGAAAGAACAAGGCGGCTTCTGCCGCGAACGATTCGGAAAAGTTGTAAACTCGCGGCAAACCTTTCGCGAATCGCAAGAAGTCGGGCGATGCCCGAGAAAGCTGGCCGCGAGCTCGTCGCAAAATCTGATCCGGCGAGAATTCCCGACGAGTCGAGCGCTTTTGTTGGCTTTCTTTCGTACACACAAAGGAAAAGTATTTTACGAGAGAAAGAGAGGGGGGCCCTGGTGCACGCGAGAGAAGTCGGTCGTCGCAACGGAATCGTTACATTTTTAGGAGGCTCTCGGCACCGCGGCCGTGATCAGCGACGCGATTTACGAGCGCGGAAACGGTGAAAAAAACGAACAAACGAACGGACGGCCAGCCGGATTTTAAGAGTGCAGCCGAGCAAACACTTAACCGGCTGAGAGAGAAGAGACTCACCCATGTTTTCGGTTGTCTTACGCTGTCCTGGTACGCGGTTCACGTTCTCGTCGAGGGTCGTCATCGGGGCCTTCTCGGCTGAAAACAAATTTTTGAACGATACGTTTAATCACTTATTGTTACGCTTGTTCGCTTTTTCTTGATCGTTGTTACTGTATGTCTGGTTCTTCATTTTCTGATTAATTTATCGTTTAGACTTAAGCTGATGATAATTAAAAAATTGTGAATTTTTCTACTCATGGTTCATCATTACACTGATGATTTTGTAGTGGTAATTTTTAAAGTTTAAAGACTAACCATGAATAGAAAAACATAATTTTTACATTACCATCATATTATAGGCCTAAATTACAAGTTAATCAGAAAATGAAAAATCGGCTCTAAAACTGACTGAAGTTAGATCAGACTCGATTGGACTTAGCAAAAATATAAAGAAGTCATCATGTATCTATCTTAGAAATATATTGTGGCGAATATCTTCTGAAATTTTCGCAAAAATTTCACAATAATTAACAGGAGATTTTACGGTCACGTCGTATGCTCAATTCATGAGAGTGCTTTTCTTTCCTCGGATTATCATCCACTTATTCAAAAATGCAATTATATTTTTAGAGCAAAGCGTTGGGAAAAGAAGGTCGAACGGCACCGATTCAGCCGGTCTCTCATAGACTGAACACCCATCATCAGGCGGCCGGACGTTTCTAAAAATGAGCCTGGCAACTAACTCGGTTTGTGCTGTACTTCCACAAACGTGTTGCGCTGCACGGCATTTCCATGATTGGAATTGTGCGTCGTTGTTGTATGCGCGACCTGCGCCCTCATTCGCGGCGGCCTGGCCGGCTCTTTCGGTCTCTCCGACCTCTCCGACCTTGACCTAGAAAGGTCGTCGAGCCGTTTTCGCCTCGGCTTTACGATATTCCTGTCGGCCATGCTTCCGGCCTGTCACATCCGTCACAAGATCGGACGACGCGCGGTTCGGCAAAATCGGCACCGCAACGCGACACAATGAGCCGCGAAGTGTGTATATCGGGAACACCCGGCCGAGCGTCGCGACAAGATGCACCGTGCACACGCGGTCAGGTACTAAGTCGCGGGAGAGCCGGACTAGAAATATCCCGGTTGGTGGTCGGCGCTCTTGGGCCGTGCGTGACGGCGAACTTCGCGAGTTGGCAGCATCCCACGAGCGGCGAACACCGACAGAAACCGGCTGACGGCCGCGGAAACGTCGCGCGCTGGTAGTGGGGCGTTGCACATGGGCGCCGACAGGATTTTCTCTACAACCAGGTACATACTGGGCGCGTTAATTTATTTTTTTGCAGCACCGAGGACGCGATTAATTTGTATTAACTCGACGATGCTAGCTCGACGGGTGGCAGTTCGCGGCAAACTTACGTAACGTGGCGTGCTATCACGCTGTCTTAAAAAAAACTTGATACCTAGTATATGGATAGCTAGTCTTGAACGCTTCATTTAATATTAATCATCGTTAATTCGCTTTCGTCTTAAATCGCGCCTATGTTCGTTTTTTTTTTAATAACAAATTACTTGGTGAAATTCTACGTGAAATGAACGAAATTACATTTTGGTTTTAAAAGCTCTTTACGAGATGCAAGTGCACTCTATTGCAGTTTCCTGACGGCGCCCATGGGAACGCGTATACTCGCTCTGATTTTATGTTGGAAGCGAGAATAGAAGTCGGCGAGAAAAGTTACGCAGGGGGACGACGCGATGACGGCGTCATCAGCGTTCTCGCATTAAGATGTTGCTTTACGCGCCGTCGAGTCCAGCTTCGCTCGATGCATTACGAGTGATTTAATGGCGATTGGTCGGGGAGAACGAGTGTGATTAGCGGAAACGAGAGTGAAACGACTACGAGCAGATATTGCATCCGTAAACGCCGGTGATGCAGCGTTTTATGACGCTGAAGATCTGTTAGTTACTGCTGATTAGGATTGTGAAAAGGCAATAGTCCGTTGAACTGTTTAGTGCACATGTGTAACTACATAGAGCAACGTGAGAAAAAATATAAACGGAGGAAGTGCATCCGCATGTCCTAAGAAGTAATATTCTGTTTTATACAACATAAATGTGGTATTTATAATTTTGCTGCTAAAATAATGTTGTTATGATGAAGCGTAAAAGGCTCCTACTCAATCCGCTTAGTGGAAACAGACGATAATGAATTCTCCTTGTATTCTCTATACGACAGAGAATACAAGAATTAATGAAAAAATTTGCATTGACGTTAGGATCGGGAGAATGCAAAGTTTAAAGACGGTAGAAAAACTTAATCATATTGCTTACGGAGATAAAAAATATGATAAATACCAAGATCGCTAGAAAAGTGGCTATCTGGCATAGCAATGTTGTCATTAACATACTCTGATAGGATAACATTTATTTCAACGTAATGTTTTACTGTGATATGCTTTCGTCGATTCCATCGATATCGAAATTTCGACATAAATAAATAATCGATGATCAATATATTTTTTAAACATACGCTAGTGAGACCGAGTATAACTTTCAGCGTCTCAATTAATTTGTCGTTCGCGTCATGTGAATACGAAAGTGAGTTTTGGCAAGATTCCATAGTTTGTGCGCAAAACAACCTATACGTCGTTCCTGATTGCAGCGTTTTACGAGAAGAAACGATATATGAGCAACCGGTTTTGCAAAATGAGAAGATGATTATCGTGGTTTATTAAAAATATTATTATCCGAAGAAATAATAGATCCTTGAGTCAATTTAAAGTAATATTTTACAGGAAAGTCCATCAAAATTGAAGTAATAATATTGAGAAAAATTGCAGAGAGAAATAAACGTAACCAGTCGACTTTTCACCTAGAAAATTTATTCACAACCAGTGATGTAACAAAAAATGGAACGCACCACTGATAGCTGATTGGTTAATATTTATTCTCGAGCGTCACGCACGGACCTTGGACGTTCTTGACCTTTGGATCGTTTCGTACGTCGCTTTTTGCACGGATTCACGGCGCGACGTAAGTTACGTGGTCAGTTTCCCTGCGCAGTCTATACGAGAAATAACGTGAGAGACTGTGTGTTTAATTTAGCACTGGTTGACATGAATAATTTCGTACGTTTGCATCCACAAAAACAAGCTGAGAAGAGCATCGCATCAGACATTAGCACTATGAATTCGAGATCAACTTCATATGATAATGTCAAAATCTTCGTGAATAGAAATTATCGAAAATGCAAAATTTGTTTTTGGCTCGGATACGATTCTTCGATTAACTCTTTAAAACTCAGGATACATAATAATGTACATTCATTTTGCGCGTTCCCCAAATTTCGTCTATTGGTAATGGTTCCATTGATATAATATTATCAATTTATCCTAAATAAAATTATATTCTCCGTCCTAACCCGTGAAATAATGTCTTTCCAGCTGAAAACTAATATATGCAATCACAAATAGAGCAAAGTCGTCAATGATCGAATTTATATAAAGTTATTTGTGAAAAAACGTAAATATAACTATATTCATGAAAATTTTGGCTGATATTCTTCAACAACTATGTTATAAACAAGCGGAAAAGAAATATCTTTTAAGTAAAATAATTTTAATATTTTCTTATTTTTATACTTTAAACGCCCAATGTACATAATTTTATATATTTATATAGAAAATCATACTTCTCGACGACCAATTTTATTTGGACAAAAAAATTTTCATCAGGAACATCTTTTAAGACAATCTCATAAATTACGACATTTTACTCTAATGGATGTCGGCCTTAAAGAGTTAAAATCGCAGGTATTATCTAATTATTACTGTAATAAAAAAAAACGATAAAGATCTAACACAAAATGTTTATTTCCTGACGTGTCAAATAAGTATAAATTATAGTAAATTTATTGGCCACATATAGAGAGAGCTCTTTAGAGTAATTCCCGTCTCTAAAGATCACCTTTGGATGTTGATATTATACTCGTTTAAATCATGGTTGACGCGTCATTCAGAGAGATAAAACACACGCGGATTCAAACGAATCCACTTCCCTTGAAAGGGTTAAGCCCTGCTCGGCAATAAAGCTGCGTCCGCTTGTCGGAGGGTATCACAGCGTTGCTCCAACTTTGTGCGGTCGCCGTCGACCCGCATTGCCGATTTACGAGGCGGCATCGTCGAACAAACATAATCAAAGTCGGTGGCTACACCAATGGGGATTTTAGATCGGTACAGTTTGCACGGGTGGTAAAGCGCGCGAGTTAACGATCGCCCGGCCGCGCGCATAGCGGAGGATTACGACGTGCTTTCGTAAGATATTTATTTTAAGAAAATACCCCCGCCCTCCATGCTTCCGGCAACGCGCAGGTTTGCCGCGAGCGTCTACACGCCAGAGGCAAATGTTTTACGACAAAATGAGGTTTATTGCGAGTAGTAGGAGAAGTCGAACGTCCCGCGAGCGGAACGGAGGGGTCGAGCTGGTAAGGAAAGAGAGGAAGAAGATCGCCCCGTATAAACGTCGAGTGAGTTAGGATTATTGTGCCTCCTTCGGGCACCTCGGGCTATCATTAATCTGGCCCGCGGCGCTATCTGGCACCAGGTTTATTTATATTTCCATCCGTATATGCCGGGCATAACCGCGAATTCCCGAAGTTTATGCAGCGCCGTACGCAAGTTCGGTTATGAGCTCCGCAACGCTCGAATAGGGCTCTTCCGCGTCTTTACATGTGCGATTTTCCACGTGTCAGCCGAGGAGGGTTCTTAAATCTTCATGGCAGCGTTACGCTGAGTGATATAAGGCGCGAGACGAATTCGATACGAAACACCATTCCGTCGCGAGACCACGTTATAGGCACTGATCTCCGAATGATCGATAACAACCTAGCGAGTGACTCGACAACACTGTAACTCACTCATTGTGCGTTGGATTTCCTATCTGAAGGGAATTTATTCGTATAATAAGCAAATCATCCTTTCAAGCTTTTTTCTTAATGGTTCTGCACGAGAAAATAAAATTGATGTTATCGATTGAGCGTTTAATTATAGAAGGTACATCTATAATGGTGCATTTATGCACACTCCGCAACATGTTTTATTGCAATTTCCAGCTAATTGAATCGCATCGTGCACACGGTGTTGCTTATAGACGCCAGTTGCTTATAGACCCCTGAACTTCCCCTTACAAAGGCCTTTACAGTCTTTACTAAGTTACTGCGATAAGTTAGCGCGTGTACGTCTCTTATGCCGCGCGATAAAAAAGAAATTATACGTTCAGTCGTCATTGTGTGTGCAATTGCTCTTACGTCCCGTTTTTATTGCAAACGTCGGCTGACCCGATCGCGTCGTTGCGCGGATTACAAGAACACTGCGAGATCGTGGCCGTCTGAAAAACGCTGTCGTGATCGCGTTTTAGAGCCGAGATTGCGGCGTTGGTTATTCCTACGCAAGAGAAAGAGGAGTGGGGGGGAGGGGGGGGGAGACGCAGCGCGCGCACCTGTCTCGCGTATCACAAACGAGGCTCGCCCTTTTATTTTACGACGTGGATACCGCGTTCGGAACTTCGAATACAAAAACGTTATCGCGCGAACGACCAGCATAAAATTTCTTTATAAACCGGGCGTACATTCAACCCCGTTAGATCCTTAAACGTTGACCAACGCCGCGCGAAAGCCGCCGCCGCCACTCCCACGAAAAGCGCGGAATCCGCTGTTGTTTTCGCCCTATATCGCCGGATCTCGATTAATGGCGCACGACCGATTGGCTTCCGATTCATCTGACTGAATAATGCAAGTCTAATTAGCGAAGTGCACAAACGCGAGTGCGCTCGATGAATCCAATCGAGCGGAGATATGTAGTTTACACGCTCTAAGCGTGCGTGCGTGTGCGTACTTATGTGTGTGCGCGCGCTCTCGGGAGTATCGACTCGACGGTAACAGGCGTTCGCATTGGTCCGATTCTAACTTCTCGTTAGCAACCGACATTCTTCATGTAAGTTTATGCTGTGCGTCGGCTTGAATCACTAGCTCAAGAGATAATGCAAATCGAGACGACTTATCTATCGCGTTATTAAAATTCGGCTTCTTTCGTTATCGATCTTAAGAACACCGTGTTATCTCGTTCTTAATCAGAAGACATTACACGTGCAGAGTTCGCGCGGAAAGATCACGCGATAATCAATGGGTGCATGATCTAACCAGTGATACATCATAATACGCTAACATCCGAAGAATAATAAGGCCTAAGCGGTTACACGAGGTCAACTTTAGCGAGAAAAACGGACATAGATCCAAGAAGAGATTCGCTACGGTCGAGTCTATAAGAGTCGTAGACGTAGAATCGAGACGCGGCGCGACGCGTTACGAACTTTTTCAATCGTTCAAGCTCGACCCACGACTCTAAAGCATGTCGTTCTTGGAGAGAGAAAAAGCGAGAGAAAAAGAGAGGGAGAAAAAAGGTGACACTCGCTCGCACTTCGTAAGCGGGCGGCGAAATACCGCGGGAATCAGCTTCAATTAACTCGCTCGTCTCGAGCTCCGGCGCGTAGCCGGTGTAACGGACTTCCGCCTAATTTATCGCAGGCGGCTCAGAAATTTATTGTGAGGAGGCGTTGTGTTTCCGTCCGACGACGGAGCATCGTAAACTATCGGGAAAGCGGGGCAGCCCTGCTCGTTTCCATCGGACGTGCATACACGACGGCGCGCGCGGCAAAGCTATCGATGCTATTCAATAAAACACGCACCACGTCGGGCTGAATAGGCGCGCCAATATGCGACTCTCATTTCCAATCCTGGAACAGCTAGGTATGCGTGTGAGGATACGTGCGTACATATGTGCGTGTGTGCGTAGAGCGCGCCGTGTTGTGTTGCATCGCTTTGAGCGTGCCGACGCGGCGTGCTCTCGTTCTCTTCCCATCCGACATTGTCGCGCGGATTTCATTTAATGTGGAATAATATTACGACTTCCTGCTGCGAAGCGTCGCCGTGACGACGCTGCGGGAGCGAGAGGATGCTGGATTTCCTTTCCCCTCCTCCCCCTATCGGTATCGACACGAAAAACGCACGCGCGCGTACGCTAATTCTCCGACGAGGAGCGGATACGTATCGGACGCGTACTCGTCGTCGGATTAAAGCGACATACCGATTCTAAAAAGAGAAGAGAGATAGAGATATAGGGGGGGGGGGGAGGGG